CTAGAAAGAATGGGGGAGCAGGCACAGGGGTTAGTAGCATCCAGTATTCAATCATTTACATAATTTACCATGTGCCCCAATAGTAGGAACACCACAACTGCTTCTATTAATATAACAACAGTGGAAGACGTCTTTATATGCATGGTCTGTTCTGTGAACATCTGCACTTACCCCCTAAGACCTGCAGAGGGCAGCGTTGTATTATTAGTCTTTCAGTGCACCATCAAGGGACTGATATTTTAATTAGTGTGTAAATAAACAAATAAACCTATGAGATCAACACCAGGACTCCTGGAAAATCTAGTTCCCGTCTAGACTGAGGACAGTTGCAAGTGGGTGAACAGGTGAGAGGGCGGAAGAGATGGGAAAGGCCGTTTTATAAAACGCTATACCCATATTCTGTTTCTATCCCCGCCCTACCCTCAAACTAAAGGTGCCTCATAAATTCAAGGCACATGATTCATTTTCTCCTGAGGGTGGATCTAATCGCATCCCACATACCAGAAGAAACTACATACCCAAAAGCCTTTGTGATCTTAATAATAAAACATTAATAAAATATCACACAGGGACCAGAGAGATGGCTCAGTGTTGAAAGCCTTGCCACACCAGCCTGAATCTCTGCATCCTACGTAAATAAACGTGGAAAGAGAGCAGAAACCCCACAAAGGCTGTGGTAGATGTGCACACACACACCACGCATACACATCACACACCATACACACACCACACACCACACATACACACACCACACACCATATACACGCCACACACCATATACACACCACACACACACATACACCCACACCACATACACACCACATACACACACCACACATACACACCACATACACACACCACACATACACACACACCACACGCACACCACATACACCACATACACACATCACACACTCCATACACACACACATATCACACACACACACCACATATACACCACACACACATACACACACACCACATAATCACACATACACACACACCACACATACACACACACCACATACACCACACACACACCACATACACACACACCACATACACCACACACACACCACATACACACATCACACACTCCATACACACACACACACACACACCACATACACACACACACACACACACACACAGTAACAAGATTTTAAGACCCTGTCTTACAGGCTGTCCCTGACATGAGCTGGGGGCTTGACTATGGTTTGGAGACAGTAAGTAGGTCGGGTGGAAATTGCCCTTTCGTGTGGGTGCTAGAGATTCAAACAGGTTCTCGGGCCTGAACAGCAAGCACTTAACTCACTAAGCCGTCTCCTGAGCCCGCCAGGATGTCTTAAACTCGGGAGATGAATAGATGGTGTCTGCTGTGAGCCCAGCTCCACAGTCCAGAGACAAAGATAAACAATTCACAGACAGTACCCCCTGTGGATGAACTGATAGACTGCGTACAGGAATTACCATCCAGATCACAGTGCTTCTAAGAACCACACAATCATCAAAAGCCATTAACTCACCCACCTCAGCCACAGGCACACACCAGCACTGAGACAGCTGAGACAAGCGTGTGAGTCCCCATTGTCTCAGGATATGCCAAGCACAGGCTGCCACACTCCCCTCCCTGGGCCTCCGGTGTCTGCACCATCATCTGGAAGCCCAGGGGCCATGGCAAGCTAGGACGTAGCTTTGCAAACCTCAGTTTTCTCATATGTTAAATGGAGAGCCAACAAATAACCCATCCTCTGAGCCTATGGTGAGGACTCAGTACTAAAAAATAAACTCAGCCATCAAGGGGTGGGGGGTGGTTTAGTAGTTTAGTACTAAGTGACTGCTGTGCAAACATAGGGACCTGAGTTGGAACCTTAGCATCTAGAGAAAGTGGGGTACAGCAGCAAGAATTTGTAACCCCAGTGCTGGGGAGGTGGATTCTTGCAGCTATTGGCCAGTGAGTGTAACTGGATCCGTGAGCTCTGTCTCAAAACATAGGGTAGAGAGGCCTTTAACTCCAATGGATCTCTGTGAGTTCAAGGCCAGCCTGGTCTACAGAGTGAGTTCCAGGACAGCCTCCAAAGCTACACAGAGAAACCGTGTCACAAAAAATAAAATGAAATAAATAAAGTGGAGTGCAATAAAGGAAGACATCCAATATCAGCATCCAGCCCCACCCTGTGGATTACAGCCCAGTGTAGGAGAGGGACTTAAGTAACAACACAGAGTAGAGCCAAGAGATGTGCCCAAGTCAACACTTACTCTTTGATAACCACCTGCATTTCTGCAGCTTCCAGATCTAATATCCACCAGCTGCAGGGAGTAAAAGCTCGGGGTGTGGCTCTGGGGGTGTGGCTCCGTAAGTGCTTGCCTGTCATTTGACAAGCCCTGTGTTCCATCCCAGGCACCAAACAAAACCAGGCTTGGTTCTCAAAAAGAATTTTAAAGCCACCCCCCCAACTGAAGAGATAAGTCAGCAGTGTGGGAACACCAGACCTTGAGCAGAGACCCACTTCCCCTTCTGCCTGGGAGTAGGCAGCTGTAAGAAAAACAATACAATGCCTGGGGGCATTAAGTTCCTGGAAAAGGCCTGCCCGCAGAAACCACCCTGACCTCGACCTTGTCCAAAGACTAACCACCTCTTCTGCCACGCCCAGATCAGTTTCTGGGGTCAGAGCGGAACCAGCCAGGGTAGAGGAGAGAGCAGAAGCTTCTCTGGTGGGAGCCTTTCTTAGGAAGTTTTCTTGAACCTTTTTGGAGCCTGCTTAAAGTTTTCTTTACATCGTTGAACGAGTCTCTGTGTTGTCAATCCCCGACACCCTCCGCACGTTCTCGGACACAGGCCGTGCAGCAGACACGACAAGCAGTTTAGCGCATCAGAACCTGTTGAAGCCAGGTTCAAGTCCAAGCACCCACTTAGCAACTAACAAACATTTATAACTCCAGCTCTAAGGGGGTCCAACAAGCTCTTCCATCCTCCCTCGGTACGCACACAGGCGGTGCATAGACCAAACACCCGCACACATAAAATTAAAAAAATAATAATCTCAAAGACAAAAAGTTGAAAGCAGGCATTGTGGTATATGCCTATAATCCCAGCTGCTGGGAGGTGGGAGCAGAAGGATCCAAAATTCAAGGTCATCCCCCAATACAAGCTCATCCATGGCCACCCTGGACTACATGACACACTGCCGAAACAAAAGCACCAGGGATTTATTTGCCAAGTTGTAGAGGCAAGGTGTTCAAGATCAAGGTCCTTGTCCCACTCCGGGGGCCGTCCTTCCTCACAGCAGCCGTGTGGGGGCAGCAGTTAGCACCAAGGGCATTCCTTGGCTCAGCGGCAGGCTCCCCCTCCACGCCTGCCTGGAGGCTCTGCTTTTCCTCTCATTGGAACACACTCGTCCTGGACCCTACAGCCCCATCACATTAACCCAAGAGGACCTCCCTTGAGAGCCTCAAGCGCATCTGCACTGTTGCTTTCCCCAAATAAAGTCACTCTCCAATTCTGGGGCTGAGGACATGTCGTTTGTAAATGTATTCATTTAATGGCATGCGCCTGGAGGTCAGAGGGCAACTTTGGTGACTCAGTTCTCTTCTTCCGCCTATGCATGGTGGTGTGAATGTGAACTGTCTGCCCACACACACACACACACAGACACACACACACACACACACACACACAGACACACACACACAGGCTCCATTGTTTGAACTTTGTCCCCAGCCGGTGGCGCTGTGTGGGAAGGCTGAGGAGCCCCTAGAATGTGTGCCCAGCCAGAAGCAGTTCATCACAGAGGTCCAGTGGGCTTTGAGGGATTTTGGGTTTGTTTGTTTGTTTGTTTGTCATTGTTGTTGTTTTGGGAGGAAGGGGGGACAGGGTTTCTCTGTATTGTTTTGGAGCCTGTCCTGGAACTCAATCTGTAGACTAGGCTGGCCTCGAACTCATAGTTATCCACCTGCCTCTGCCTCCCGAGTGCTGGGATTAAAGGCGTGCGCCACCATCGCCTGGTGGGCTTTGAGGTTTTACAGCCTGACCTCGTTCCTTTCCAACTCAGTCTTTGCTAGCTCTGAGTGGACTCAATGGGACCCGCCAGCCTCCTGCTCCTGCCACCACGCCGTCCTACCTGCTGCGGAGTCTTCCTCACCATGATGGACTCTATCCCTCTGGGACTGTGAGTCAAATAAGCCTTCTGTCCCTTAAGTTGTCCTTGTCATGGCTATTCAGTCACAGCAACAGAAGAGAAACTAACATATATGGGTTCTAGGGATGAAACTCGGGTCCCAGGGTTTGTGAGGCAAGCGTTCCTTCCTCTTGTAGCCAGGCATATTTTTTTTTAATTAGTGGCATCATTTTTTAGTTCAGCATCATCTACCACACCACCACACCTTCACTGATACACAGTAGGAGCATCATACATGCCAGGAGAAGGTGCTCAATAGATGGCAGTATCGTTACACTATAGATGCTTATTTGGTGTTGCTGTAGAACTGGGTGCTTATACTGGCCATGGTTAGGATGAGCCTCCAAAGCTCTGTCCCCACTTGGCTCTGTCACGGGGTGATGGGGGCAGTAGGATCTGAGGCCTAGAGTGAGGCCTGAAGTTGGGGTGTGCCTTCCAAGGACACTGCCAGGCCCTGGTCTCTTTTTCACCCTTACATCCTGGCTGTTTCAGTGAGCATTTTTGCTTGGCCATGTGTCCCCACCACAGTGTGTCACCACAGCCCCGGGGTGATGGGCCCAAATGAGAGTACAGCGTGACATTGGGAACCATGAGCATAACTGAACGGTCTATCCCCGTGAGTTGATCACACCAGGTGCTCCAGTAAGGGCGCCTGACTAAGCCAGCGGAGGGCCTGCAGCACCGGCATCCCCTGCTGGAACATTCTGTGACTGGCGTGTCCATTCCTCGGTCCAGCATCCTGTTCCAGGCACATTGATCTCCTCTTACGGGCTACAGAATCTTCCTTAACTTTATGTGTACGCATAAATGTCTAGTCATTTC